TTCTGCCACAGCGGGTGCAGGGGGACAGAACTGCGGGTGGGCAGGAGACAGAGCCTGAAAGGCTCCGGGTGAGACGGTGGGCACGGGGGTGGCAGGGGTGGCACGAGGAGAAAGCCGTGCATTGAACACACCGGCAAAGGTCCGGGAATATTAAACTGCATTGCAGATAAATCCCCAACATAAATATCGTGAGCTGCTCTGCCACGGGGGGGCCCAGCAAGGAGATTTATAGCCCAGCGATTCCCACGGTGGCCCCCTGCAGTGCCTGGGTACTCTGGCCCCCCACGGCCACCCTGCCTGTCATGCTCAGGGGTGCCTTGCTACCCTCACCCTCCTGTGCCTGTGCATCCCTGGTTGCTCAGAGGGGGCTCTGGGTCTCCTGGGTGCTGGGGAGGGACAGCACGTACTGGGTGCTGTGCTGTGGCATGGGGCCCTGCTTGTCATGGCACAGGTGGCTCAGTGATGTGGGACCTGCTCTCTCGTCCTGTGGGAGCTGTGGTCTGGCCCCAGGCACAGCTCTCGGTGCCCGGGGCTGCTGAGGCTGCTCTTTCTGTGCTGGGCTGCTGGGCATGGCCCGGGCATGGCGCCTTCTGCAGCAGCCAGGCCCAGCATCACCTGCACAGGCAGTGGCACACATGTACATCACGTGTACACCCACACACACTGACATGCACCAGCCTTCACACACACTCTGTGCCTTCACACACACTCTCACACTCAAGCACTCACTGCCATCCACGTGTACCCTGGCACACTAAACACAAGCTCAGGTGTTGCAGCTCAGCTTTCATGGGGCACACACCAAAGCAGAGAGAATCATGAATCCCACAAGAGAGACACCTCAGGCTCAGGCACCCTAAGCAGCCAGGTACCACCAACCCCAGTGGGATGCAAGGGCACCCAGTCAGGCTGGGCACAGGGAATCCACCCTGCTGTTCATGAGGGAGATAGGAGCATGGAACTCCCCATGCCTGCACTTACCCAGCCCTGAGATGTGCTTGGTACCTTGGTTGGAGCATGATGGATGCACATGGGGGGCGGGGAGGGCCTGGTGTTATTAACAGCCCTGGGTATTGCTCCAACAGGGCTGTAAAAATTAAAGGCGTGTGGATATAAAATAATGGATAAATCTGAGCTGGCCGCAGAGCGCTGCGGTGTCCCGCAGGTGTTGGCATCTCAAAAAGCCACGGTACAGCCGTTGTGGGGTGGGCACCTGTGGGTAAATATGGGGCATCAGGCAGTGCCTGCACCCTCTTCCAAATGCTGACTTTCCCTAAAAAGGTCCACTGAGTGCCCTGAGAGGATGTGCAGGCAGTGCCAACCTGTGGAACTGGTACTGCAAGGCAAGCAGCTGCTGCTGGAGCTGGAATGGAAGAAAAGAATTTACCCCTTTGCAGACTGGGCTGGGGGACAGGGCACCTGCTTCTGGATGCCCAAGCGCTGCCCAGCCCACACACACCCAACAGCAGGATCCGTGCCATGGGGCCAACACACCCAGAGATCACCAGGTGGGTGTGGGCATCCCGTGGCCCGGCGCTCATCATCACCCAGCCCGCCAGCCCCGCTGCGCCCTGCCCATCCCGCGGGCCACCCCGCCGGCATCCTCATTTTCCCCAAGATTAGCCGCGGCGCGGGAGCCTCCGCGCATCGCCAGCAGGTGACAAATAAGATTTTTCCACTCTCCCGAGCACCCGGCATGGGTCTGTCATTGAAAATGCAAAGCAGCGCGGTGCCAACCTCCGCCATCCGCTCTCACCTCTGTCAGCCCCTCAGCGCTGAGCACCCAGCCAGAGGAACCCCCCCACCATCACCTCCAGAGCCCCGCTGTGCTCCCTCGGCAGCGCTGGGGCGCAGGGATGGTGCCTTCACGCCCAATAAAGCAGGGCAGGTTCCCGGGGGTTTCTTAGAGGGCTGCTAGTTTGGGAGTGTCAGCCTGGGTGGGCAACATGGCATTTTGGTGCACTCACATGCTGGCGGAGGTTTGCACCAGTGAGGGGCTGTCCCTTATAGGAATCACCTGGCCCAAGACTTGCCTGTTTGGGGTGGGCATCACCCCACAAGTCCCACCCCAAGGAGGCCCATGCAGCACCCAAGGCGGGAGTAGGAGAGTGCTCCGCCCCACAGCTGGGTGCATCCACCCATTACCCACAACCCTCACCCGTGGACTCACGTTTCCCAAACCCCTCAGTCGTCGCCATTGTCCCCTTCCTCCCCAAAACCCCTCGGTTCCCCCAGCTCCAAACCTGGCACCCCTTTAGTGCCGTGCCCCCAGCTCAGAGCACGGCAGCCCCCAGCCCCACTCCCCCCGCAGCCGCCGCGTCTCCCCTCCGCTATTGTCAGAGGGTTGCCTCTGCCTCTGTCTGCGAAATTAATTCGGAGGTGGAGAGGGAGAATTATGTAAAGTGTGGTTATTCTGGAGCGGCGGGGGAAGCGCGGCTGATGGCAAAGTGCCTTTTTGTGTGTTTAATATGCATTTTTTTCCAGCGGTGCATTTTCAGGCGGGTAATTTGCTGTCTTTTCAGACCCCGATCAGTATCATTTCTCCGGCAATGACAGCTTTTATTTGCACTGAAATGAATGCTGCAAAATTTCCAAGAAATAGCCGAGGCCCTGTTGGCTGCCCACCCCCGCAGGGCCGGGCCATGGGCACCCACCCCCGGAGCCCCCTGCCCAGGGCCCCACTTGGCAGCAGAGTCCTGGGGTTCTGGGCAGATGCATGTGTCAGTTTGCACACCCCGAGTGCGCAAGGGTGCGTGCCCCCCTGGCTCCCCCTTCCTGGAGCCCTGTGTGCACATCAGGGTGTCACACCTAGGGGTGGGTACATACACCCACACTAACGTGTGTGCACATACAGACAGCCCTTGTGCACGTGTACAGCCCCCAGCACAGCACCCCTCCCATGTGCACACGCACACACACTCTCCTCGTTTATGCATATCCCTGCCTGAACATCTACACACATACACACACACCTCCCTGCTTGTGTGCTGGTGGGCCCCCTCTCCACTTTGTATCCCTCCCCAGACCTTGGCATAGCACCCCTGATGCAGAGCACCAGGAGGGTTTGGGGGTCACCCATTCACTGGGCTCTA